GAGGGGCCCAGCACTCCAAGAAGGCCATTGGATTTCTTTTTGGAATTCAAGTCTAATGCTGTAGTTGAGGTAGTGTACAGTAGTGGGATGCCATACACAAAGTACAGTACAAACTGCTTGTAGAGTCTGTGGATTCTGTCATGGAACACACCGGGTTACGGTATATGCTTCCTTGCTCAGGTGCTGCCACCTCAGGATGAACCTGAGCTTGCGTGGCTGGTTACTGTGCCGGAGCATGTTTGGCAGGAGTTTACATCGAAGGAGAATGTAGAACGCCAAATCAATGACGATGGCCGATGGAGTTATCGGATTGGATTGACTGGCAAACATACCAGTGCTGACCCTGTTTATCTCATGGATTCAGATGCTTGGTCATGAGGCAAGAGTTTGTTCAGCTTGACAACCCTTTTACTGTGATTACTGTATAGCATACCGGTATACACCCGGAAAGATTAACATGGAAACTGACAATCCACCCTTGGAAGACTATATATATATACAGTACTACTCTACAACCTAGTGGCTTTCAGGTTCTATGTTAAGCTTCCAGAGTGTATGACAGTACGGTAAGGGCCTGCAATCTTCAGTACCGTGTTGCCCAGGACTTTGCCTTCCAAGACAAGGCCGCCATTCAGTCTGCCATCTTCATGGCTGACTATCGAGACGCTGAAATTCAAACGCTTAAGGCGATGAAGGTCCCAATCCTCAAGATTGAAGCGCAGTCTCTGCAGATCAAATTCGCCCACAACATCAGAAAGCAGGGTCTGATGGACAAGATCCTCTTCCACCGCTGTACCCTGGCATCACTGTAACTCTTTTCACCCTAACATAGACAACAACGGCAGTGTTTACAGTACTGTACTTTACTATAGTTGGTTTTTGGACGGTGCCCAAATTTGGTGTATCGTTTACATGTTTACAGTACTGTAGTCACTGTTTGTCTTTTGTGCCATCGGTGCACTGTACAGCAGATTCAAGGTTCTGAGCAGTGTCAATCTGAAGTGAACCGTTTCAAGGAGGAATTTGGACATTTGTTTGAAGCAGCAAGCAGCGAGAAGCAGATTGCAAGCAAAGCAGAAGCCAAGACAAGCAAGAAGCCTGACAAAGCACATACACAAGCCAAAGCGAAAGCACAAGAGGCATCATCATCAGCCTCAATGAAGCCTAGCAAAGAGCATGCCACAACGACTAACATAGAATATTGACAAGACAAAGCATTAGCGCCGGTATTGTCATCTGCAACGGTTGAGCAGATGAAGGCTAACATAGCCAATGCGCTCAAAGCTTCAGGCATATCCAAACCCGAGCCTCCAGTGATCAAGTCTGAACCCTTTGTGCCAGTGAAGGTCAAGACGGAACCTGTTGAGTTGCCGGTGGTTGCATGCGCTGGGGGAGCTTCAGCTTCCAGTGGCCAAGCACCGTTACTGCCCAGCTCCAACAATGCGGTTGGTGGGGGGTGGTGCCTTTGGGTCTGGTGGGACACAAGATGAGGCTGGCATTTTGACGCACCATTTTGTCCCACTGGCAGACACAGCGGAGCAGCCAGGTCAGCAGCAACAAAAGGACCTGTTTCTGGCGGCTGACCTTGTGATTCCTGGAATTGCTCTGAAAAAGATGAAGCAAGCCTTGACAGCTGCAAATGAAGCATCCAAGCACTTCTTTGGTGTCATGGCACCCGCCACTGGCAAGATGTACCGAAAAGAGAAGCCTAGTGTGCAAAAGCTTGTCATTGCAAACATGCAGTTGCATGGGCAAGTTTTTTGGCAGCGAGTGGTCAAGCACTTTGCAGGGAATGAGCTCTCTGTGTTTCTTGTCCCTTCCAATTCAGAGATGCATCCAACGGCAGCAACTTGGCTTGCAAAACTATCAAGCAGCACAGCACACGAGCATACTAACATAGGACTTGCACAGTCTGATCAATACAGTAGAACCCCTGGACCTGCAGTAGAGGCTGATGATTACAAATGCTTCAGATCTACACTAACCAAGAACACAAACAAAACACCCACTGCTTTGCTTTCTCTTCTGAGGCACTAGAGCAAATGCCATTGAGCCTTCATCCAAGCAACAAGCAAGTGTATGTCATTGAGATTCCGTCGGATAGTTCACTTGGTAGAAGCGACGCTGACTTCTCGAACATCAACCATTGGCTTGTGGATATGGAGGGCAACCACCTATGCAATCCAATGGTGCAAGTTTTTGCCAACGGCAAGCTGGGTACTTTGAAAGGTGGTCTTTTGCACTTGTCAGATGCCCGGAGTGTTCTGTCAAAGGAGGATTTGTGTGATCTTGCCATGGAGGATACAAGCGTGAGGCTGACCAACAAAAGGACATTTGTTGCCAAAGGTTTACAGTAAGGTATACAGTACAGTAGGGGAGGGGAAAGTGCAGTATGTTTTGTATAATGTTGATACTAACTAATACTAACCTAGAACACAGTACAGTATTGTTTTTGTTGCAACACCATTTTGCGCACTACTGTACAGTACAGTACATGTCCCACGTTGCTTCGGTGTTCCATGTTAGTACGCTGCAGCAGAGCAGGAAATGTATGCAAGATGCTCAAGAAGTTGGTTCTATGAAACGGCATTGCTCGGATCAAAGTCTGGCGGATTCCGAGGAAGCCCTTTCGAAATTGCAAGAGAAAGAAAACGAGTTGACGCAGAAGCTTGCTCTCTTCAACCAAGTCCTTGCTCAAATGACAGCTCCAAACTCCAATCGGCCTGAGAAGTCTGAGGATGACACCTGGATCGATCACTTTAAGCTGCTTGTGGGAAGTGACATCCCAGAGGCTCCTGCGACCTTTCAAAACAGCTCTCTGTCCTACCAGGAGGTGCTCATTCGGCTTGCCCAGCACATAGGCTTTATCACCACCGCATTGCAGAAAGCAAAGAATGGTCACGCGCGAGCTGTTCAAAAGAAATTGATCAAAGAGAAGCACTTAGCGAAAAAAGAACAGAGACTCAAGAGGAAGGTTGAGGAAACTTTTGGAGAGAATGCTGAATTGGAGCGGAAGAAGATGAAATCCAAGTAACTTGGACTGATGTACAGTAGGTTACAGTAGGTACTGTATGTTTTCCTCAAAAGGTCAAAGTTCAAGGTCAAAAAATATATGTGTTTGTGTGCCATGTTAGGAGTCCAGTGTGTACGCTTTTTTTTGCCCACCAGAATTTCTTTCCACTGCAGGCAGCGGCGCAGACAACAGTACTTTGCCAAAAAGAAGTCCAAGGCCAAAGCAAAAACTTTGAAGCGTCGAGCGCGCCAGTACAAGACCATTGACAATGGCGAGTTCCCTCAACCTCTCAGAGCACCCCGCAGAGTCATCACTATTGAGAAGAAGCTCAGCGTATTGGACAGGTGGGAGGAATTGGTTGAGCAGAAGAAGAAAGCTCAAGAAGCTGCCCAAGAACCTCGACCAGTGGGTGTTCCCCGCGCCAAGGTGAAGGAATGGAAGGCAGCCGTCAAGGAGGCCAAGAAAAAAAGCAGATTGGCTCTGTTGAAAACAATCCGACATGAATTCCCAGACATTGTCGGTGGTTGCCAGCCTTTCAAGTGGAAGAAAACAGCAGAGCGAGAGGGGTGGAGGCATTTGCCACAGTTTATCCAGGCCAGATGTTCAGCCACAGCGAATGAATGGCGAAGTAGACTGAGTCTTGCGAAGAAAGGTAGGTCCATCGGTGGTGCTGTGCCTCATTGCATTCAGCGCGAATTGGATTTGCTGATCATGGAGCACTCATCGGGCATGTCAGGAGTGTCGGAGCGCAAAGAAATTGTGACAATGGAGCATGTTGCAGCCTGGCAATATCATTACTAAATTACAGTACCCCCCTGCACACTAACATGGAACATGCACTCCCCACAGTACACGAGTCCCGCACTGTACTCCCAGTGTTTCACAAATAGGGCACCTCAGACTAACATACCACCCAGATCTTTTTTGATGATGTTAAACTTCGTGGGTGCGCAGTACATCCTGCAAAAAATACTGTACCTCAGACTTTTTGTTCCATGTTAGGGGTCCAGTGGTAGCTAAGGCAACGACGGTAAGCTCACTGGTCAAAGACTGGAATGAGAGTCTGGATGGCCGAGTGAACATGGTACAGGAGTGGAACAGGTCCATTGAGCAAGACTTCAATGATGGCAAGATCTCTGCCGAGGCTGCGCTAGCAGGATACGAGCCTGTCCCACAAAAGATACCCACCCCAACTACTGCATGGGTGCGATGGTGGAAGTCAACATGGGGGTGGAGTATGCTAACAAGAGCTGGAGAAGAGAGCACGTGGCTTCCATACGATCACCCAGACATGGAAGCCAGCAGGCGGCATACGGCTAGCTTGATTTCCGAGAAGGGGGGTCCACAAGTATCTAATTTTGAATTATGATCAACTGTGGCGCAATTGTTGGCAAATGAGTCACTACAAGCTATGCTTTAAGCATCGCAGTGGAGCAGGAAAGCGGGTGCGTAAGCTGGCTGCAGGTATGCGTGAGGACAAGAAGATTCATTCTGTACGCGGCAGTCGCAGGAGCGTGACCGTTCTTTGCCTTTGATGTGATTGATACACTTTTTTTTAACCTATAGTACCATACAGTACAGTACCTGTTTTTTAACTTACCCAAACTAACCGCACAGCGCACCATGCACTACAGTAACATAGAACATGGTGGCCATACTTGACTGTTATTTTACATCTATCCCAAGACAGAACCAGGTTCTCACAACGTCATGGTCCGATGGCACGCCAGGGCCAATTGCCTTCTGTGTGGCTGAGGGTCACATAAGCGGCCAAGACATTGTGGACTACAATCTCAAGAACTATGGCCGGAGTATGGTGGTGACCTCCGGAGGATCCAGTCATTTCATGACAGGGGAGACAATGATGATCATGATGGAGCAATTGATATCGCCGGCTCTGAAATTGCAACGTGAACGGTGCCTCTCCGCAGTGTATGTACAGCACATTCCAGTCAATAGTGCAAACACTGCAAAACAATCCCCTGTATTGCACTTGTGATGTTCTATGTTAGCCTGGCCGTTTAACTCAGGCATGGCCTGAGCGATCAGGATCGCGCAGCACTGCTGTGTGATGCTTGGACTGGCAGCTTCTCAAAACATGGCGGACTTGACTTTCGAAGGACTTGTGTTTTCTGTAGCGGCACTTGTGTTTGTCATTCCATTGACCCAGGTCAATGTACTTTAACATGAAACACATTGTGCCCAGGAGCACTTGGTTCACATCGCATAACTGCGAACCGCCACGCCTCCAACCTGGTGGCTGGTCCACCCATGGCCAGCCTGTTGACTCCATGCACCAGAGCTTTCGACAGGAGATTCGCAAGGTGGATCTGGCATCAACAGGGCATGTATGCGATTTGCGCAACAGGGCACGCTGCTTGACTGTCTGAAAACCGAAATATGGACAAGACTTACAGTAGTGCTGCCGGGTGTTGACTGCTTTTACCATTTGTTCCTTGTCACTACATGTGCACCCAGGAAGATTACACTAACATGGAACCTAAACACTACTGGGTTGTAGAAGAAAATGATTCTGGGTGTACTGTATCCTGCCAAGGCTTTGAAGACCTGGACATAAAGGCATCGGGCCAGATTGCAGCTTCAGTCCAGAACATGCGCCGTGTGCTGGAACTCTCCCTTCAAGCTTGGAACTCGATTCCTATCCGAGTTTTTCAAGCAAGCTGGATAGTGACGGGGTACTTTGAGTCCAGTCACTTTCCACCAATCGATCAGACTCCTTCTGACATTGGTGCCGCTCAGAAGGTGCTGGATCCGGCTGGAGTGAGTGGAGGGTCTTTGCCAGGAACTCCTCAGTTTTGTCACAAATATGAGTGGCAAGTGCAGGACTGCTGAACCAAGTCTGTGTGTTCTATGTCAATGTGCTAGTCTGTTCCTGTTCTATGTTCTTTGTTCCTGCTGTGTTTTATGTTAATGTGTTCCATGTTCCTGTTCTCCTCTTTTCCATACTGTACAGCACTGTAATCCTGTGATTTCTCTCAACCACAGGATGAAGACACGCCAGATGAGTGGCATGGGCTGCCATACGAGATCGCTCATGCTATTGTGCGATGTGTCACAATGCATGGAAAGGCATTCTTGGACGCCAAGAGAGAACTTCATGCCCAAAAGCAAGTCGACCTCTCCGGAAAGAAGCCCAAAACCTTGAAGTTGAAATCGGCGTTTGAGGCGCTTCATGAATCAAACAAAGCGCTACTCCGTGATGAACCGAAGAACTGGCTGGGTGGCGACTTCCGAGTGGTTAAACACCCATGTGAAGGTTGCAGAGGATGGGAAACCACACCCCAAGAAGGAGAAAGGCAAACTGTGGATCCTAACCATCCACATCAAGATTGTCGGCCCCAACATTGACGTGCGTTTTAGTCCTTCTGATGGCAAGCCCTTCCGAGCTGTTCGATGCCTCTCTCTCGAAGGTGGAGCAGTGAATGCAAAGCTCACGTCCATAGTCTCAGGATACGAGCATTTGCTGACTGATGATGATGATGCAGAAGCTCATTTGATTTGAGACGCATCACCGGTGTTCTATGTTAGGGCAAGTTGGTTTTGTGCTCTCCACCAAAATTGGACAAGCATACAGTATACAATACAGCAGAGGAAATGTGTCACCGGTATTCTATGTTAGGAGTGTCAGGGTAGGTTCATACCCATCTACTGTCCCTAAAGCACATCGAAATTATAGCGTGCGCATTTCAATAATTTGGAGGTGAGAATTTGAAATAGTACAACTAAGGAAATTGACGAACAAGATGCTGGCTCCATCGACATGGAAGAACATGCCACACCAGATGCAGAAAGCGATGGTGCAGATAGCTTGCCTGGCGATGAAGCTGGCATTGAAGGACTGGGGATACTTACAGTACAGGACTGTTGTATAAAATGCTTTTGAGCTACTGGGTGTTCTATGTTAGGCTCCAAGCTTTGGTGGGACATATATGGACATATTCAATTGGAAGCGCATTTGACAGAGTAACATGAACCAATTCTCCAAACCCACAGACATGATTGGAGGACAAGAAGATGGTTACATGGCGGACCTGCAGATGGACCCTGCACCTTCAGTGGCTGCAGGTAAGGACAAACCAGAGAAAGTTTGGCAGTGCAAGAAGAATGGCAAGTACTCCTCGGCAACGGGCCACCATGGATCCGATACTTCCCCAATGCATGAGGCTACTGGATGGATGCCAGATGATCATGTTGATGAATCAATGCTGGTGACAGCTTGCGGTGCGGAGACCAAGAAGAAGGGTGCCTTTGAGATCAAGCACGTGCCTGCGACCTTTTTCACACGAGCAGCCTTTGTTGAGCTTGCTGCCAAAGACCTCGCAAAGGTCCCGCCAGGAGAAGGTTGGCAAATAGCCTACCACTCCCAGACGAAGCGATGGCATGCAAGGACCCCAAGTAAGCAGAATTATGCTCCTACTTGGGGCATGAGGCGCTCCGAGCTTAAAGCTCTGTGTTTGGCTCTGCAGCAGCTATGGGATTGGTACATCAATAGTGACCCTCCAGACAGAACGGAGGCTGATGCGCATCTTGCCCGGTTGGTCGAATTCACCGACTCAATCGAGTTTTGACCATTAACATGGATGGGGAAGAGAAACAAAACAGCAGCAACAAGGTCTATGTTAGGAGCGTTCTCTGTTGATTTTGACCATGAAGACGGGTTGGCAGAAGAACCACAACAGCAGCCACAAGTTCCATGTTAGGAGTAATTCCGGTTGATGGTCAATGATGTCTCTAGGAGATACCTGGGTGGATCCGTCTCCAGAGAACAATCTGGAATTTTCAGAATTCAGTTGCTAGTTTGGTCCTGACCTTAGACCAAAATGGTCGCCTGAGTGTTGTGTTCTAGGTTAAGGCTCTAGTTGTCCTTTGGTTCATTTAAGCACTGCAGTAAACTACAGTACAGTATGTTACTTTTCCTTGGACTCAGGGCAAGGTTTCAGTTGACAGCTAAGCTAATGTCCACTTGGTGGCTGATCATTGCAAAAAAAGATCATCACATAGTATGAACCATCAGCCACCAGAACGAAGAGAACAAAGACATACAGAATTCCGGGAAAGGAAAAAGGCCAGCCGATCATTGTTCATGTGGCATGTTAGTGTGAGGTGCGCTATTTATGAAACAGTCCTGGGAGCGGGCCATGTTAGTGTGGACACACTGAGATTGGCAGGTGCATGTGTGGTATGTTAGCGTGAGGTGCCCTATTTGTGAAACAGCCCTGAGAGCGGGCCATGTTAGTGTGGATACAC